TTGGGGGGACAAAGTCTCTCTCTGTTGCCCAGGCTGGAGTGCAATGGTGAGATCTTGGCTCACTGCACCCTCCACCTCCTGGGTTCAAGCAATTCTTGTACCTCAACCTCCTGAGTAGCTGGGATTACAGGCACCCACCACCACGCCCTGCTAATTTTTGCATCTTTAGTAAGACAGGGTTTAACCATGTTGGTCAGGATGGTCTTGATCTCCTGACCTCGTGATCCACCCAGCTTGGCCTCCCAAAGTGCTGGGATTACAGGTGTGAGCCACTGTGCCTGGCCAAAGATATTCTTTAAAAACAAAAAAAGGTGCTTCTGAAAAGTCAATTTGGGGATAAATACTAACCATATGTAAAGAGTGCTGGGGAACTGTTGATGTTCAGATTGGAGAGGGCTAGAAAATAACAGAGCTTGTTTAGAAGATTGCAGATTTCAAAGTGCAGAAATTACTTTGAATTACCAAATGTGAGCTAAGCTGTGCTATGTTAGTTTAGAATATAGCTCATCAGGCTTTATACTGTTTAAATAGCTGGCTCTTTCTCGTTTAAGTTTAGGCTTAACTACCAGCAAACAGGGTTTAAGAAACCCTTGCTGACCATTCTAAATAGGTTCCCTTTATCAGTATATCCTGTTGATGTCCCTCACAGCATCTATCACAATTTTTAATAATCTTATTTGTTGGTTTAATTATTTGTTTGCCTCCCCCACTATGTTGTAAAGCCTACCAAAACAGAGACTGTAGTGAATACCTTATTACCTAGTTCAGGGCCTGGCACATAGTAGGTAACAAGTAAATGCTTGATGAATTAATGAATGCAAGTATTTCAGCAAAATCAATGTATGCTATGAACTTGTATGTATGCTGAGTGTACGAAGATAAATGAGAGTCATTCCTTGCCCCATTAACTTACGTGGAGGCTTTCAGCTGAGGGAGTTGCATACTTTTGCTTTCATCAGCAGATCTCCAGCTTTCTTTTCTAAATACATAAAAATTATAAAACCCCCAAATAAGACCAACATAGCATTTTAGAACTTCTCATTTGATTAAGAATCAAATATATACATGGGGATTGTATATTTTCTTTCTTTCTTTTTCTTTTTCTTTCTTTTTTTGACAGAGTCTTCCTTCGTTGCCCAGCCTGGAGTGCAGTGGTGTGATCCCAGCTCACTGCAACCTCCACCTCCCCAGTCCAAGTGATTCTCGGCCTCTCAAATAACTGGGACTACAGGTGCATACCACCACACCCAGCTAATTTTTTGTATTTTTAGTAAAGATGAGATTTCGGCATGTTGCCCAGGCTGGTTTCTAACTCCTGAACCCAGGCAATCAACCCACCTCAGCTTCCCAAAGTGCTAGGATTACAGGTGTGAGCCACCGTGCCCAGCCTGTAAATTTTCACTAAATAGGCTGACTGCATGATAGCCAGGGGCATGAGATTTTTCTTTCATTTTAAAGTAGAATATTCATTGAATAGATTGTCTATTACTTATATTAATAAAAAAATAAATAGGTGTATTAGTCTTTGGCTTAGTACAAATCATTCATGGAACCTAGTAACTTTGAATCTTAGGAAATATAAAATGGAATAACAGTATTCTACCGATAGTATTTCACACTTTAATCTCTTTTATCCAGACCA